GAAAGGGAAAGAAAGCCATTGTCCAGGGGCTCCAGGATGGAATTCCTCCTGGTTCCAGGTCGCCATCACCCCTCCTCCCTGCAGAAGCCTTGTTAAAGATTTCCACTATAATCATTAAAACATTATTCATCTCCTAGAACAGGAGTCCCAGGGAAAGGGGGAGTCTAGGTCTCTTGAAAACCAGCGACTTTGTGGGAGTCTTTAGAAGGGTTTTTGTGGAGGACTGAAGCCGCATGCCACATCTTTACCTCAGCCCCTCACTATCTTCCTTCAAGACACTTAAGTCTCCTCTCCACATTACCACTCCCCCTCCTGTCTCCATCCAGGCCAACTGAGCCCTATTAGCGCAGGGTTAGCTCAGGGAAGGTGGAGGTGGGAAGCACCTGCAGAGAAGGAAGAGGCTTGGGTGCCTCTGAGGACAGAGAGTCTGGAGAGGAGACCTGCCACGACAATGGAAGGGGTTGCAAGGAGACTCCTGGCAGAACTGGAAAGCTTCAGGACTTGAGAAGGGAGATCTGGCAGATCATCACCTCCCTTGGGGACAGGAAGTCACTGTGCACTTTCTCTGTTTTTCCTCTGTACCCACATCCTTTATAAATTTGGGGAACTCCTTGATCTCCAAGGCACCCCCACCCCACCCTCGTCGACACAGGTCTCAGCTACATGGATAACATTCCATTGGCTCTGGATACAATCCCAGAGGCAAGTTCAGGCATCCAAACTCAAGTGAGGTTTAGAGCTGAGTAATCAGTGGCTATGGCTATGGAGACACTTGGCTGGGGGATCAACCAGCTCCCCACCCCCACCTCACATTGTGGATTTGGGGGTGGGGGCAGGGCAGCCTGTCGCTAGTGTCTTCCCACCCACCCTCTTCCCGCCACCACATTCTCCCTCTTCCCACCTGCAAGTAATTTGGCCAATAGGAGGGCAGTTAAGCTCGCAATTTGGAATCCCTCTAGATCTGTGTGTATTTGGTGAGGAGGGGGCTGCCTCCTGCCCCCTAGACCCTATGCACCCTTTTTCTTCTTCACAGCAGCAAATTACTCGTAATTATCTCACATTGAGAACCTTCAGGAGCTACTTCCAAATTGCTTTAATTGAATTAATTGAATCTCATTTTGCTGGGGGAGAAGATGGGGGCACATCTTAAAATAGCGTTAAGGGAAGAGGAGAAAGGGGAGGGGGAGTGCTGGTCTAGCTGGGACCCTCACAATGTGGTCTCTGAATGAGGTGGCGGAATATTCCCTGAACTCCCTGCTCCCATCTCCCAGTCCCAGCCCATTGTGGATGCCAGCTGGCCCTTTGGCACCCTTGTCTGTGTCCTGCTGGCAAATGGAGCTGGCTAGCAATGAGTTCAAGTTCTCCAACCTCCATCCCAAATCCAAGTCGCACCCTACAGAGGCAGGTCTGCCAGAGGCAAGAAGTGAATGAATTTACCCTCACTGTGACCCCTCCCCTCCCCGACAATCATAACAGCACCCATAAATGCCACTTATTAAGTGCTTCCTATGTTCCAGGCACTGTGTCAAGCATGTTACAAGCACTATCTCATTTTATCATCACAATCACATAGAGAAGCAGTTCCTGTGAGTGTTCCCGCGTATGTGAGGGGTAGCGGGGAGGTGGTTGGTATTATGTGCTGTCAAATCGAAGTGACTCATAGCCACCCTATGTACAAGAGCCCTGAAACCTGCTCTATCCTGTGCCAACTTTACTGTCTCCGACACACCTACCCTCATTACCCCAGTCACTGACTGAATCAATCCATCTCATCCAGGGTCTCCCTCTCTTTCTCCATCCCTCCACCTTTCCACCCTTCCAAGCAAGGACTGGTTGGGAGGAGATAATGCTCAGAGAGAAGTTAGGTGACTTGGCCCCCAAATCACACAGCTAACAAGTGGCTAATACACAAAACACAGCTAACAAAGAGAGATCCCCTTTCTTTTGTTTCTTCTCTATCTGAGCCAATTTTCCAGAGGATTCTTTTCACTATAAGACAGCAATGGGTTCCCCTTCTACAGTCTGGATGGTCTAAGGGAGGAAAACGGGGTACCTCTTCCACCGGAGTTCCAGTCACACCTTCACTGCGGAACCTAGACCAATTTGCAAGTGGAAAAAGGATACCTGTTTCCCCCAGCCCAGAAGGGGTAGATGGGGTGCATGCTGTCAGCTCAACTGGCCTCTGGCTGGAAGAGTAATTACACTCCTTCTGCTACTTAACTTTACAACCCGGGCTGGGGCTGTTTTAACGACACAACTCGTGTTGGGCTGTCCAGTGAATCTCGCCTTTGGAGGCTTTCCGAGTTGGGGCGGTCGATCTTATCTTCGCTCAGCGGAAAGAGGAGTGTGCAACCTGCCACAGGAGGGACCATGGCCTCAGACCGGGCCTGTGGGAGCCAGAGCCCTGGTCGGGGTGGGGGAATGCTGGCTCGGATGAGGGGGAGCCCCTCTTCCTTCTGGTGACCACCACTCAGTCCTCCCTGGCCCTGGGTCTCGGCTTTGGCTCACCTCAAGCCAATTTTCATGCCACTGAAATCCTCCAAATGGGTTTTAGGGAGTAGAGATGACTGGAATTGGAAGCCAAAAACAGACTTGTTTTGGGAGATAGGCTCTGCCCATGACATCTGCCCATTCTGTTCTGCAGGTGGCCACAGTCTGGGCTCCTCTATGATCAGCCAGTTCCTTCTGAAAGGGCTCTGCACACAAGGGTAGGTCTGAGTTTACAGAGCCTGGAACTAAGTAAGAAGGAAGTCCCACTTGGAATCAGGCTTGGGCTCCCTCAGCTCCCTCAGCCCAGGTTCTGTGCATGTGGGAGGCAGAGCGCAGCAGGCACGAATCTATTGCTGGGTCCAATTGCTCCTTAGCTGCCACCCACCCTTATCTCCTGATGTTGTCAAAGCTGAATGAAGTCAAGGAGCTCCTAGCCTCTGTGCCTATTGACCAGTCTGCTCCCCAGTAGCCTTTGAGCGCTCAGGAGGCTTCCTGTCATCCCGCCACCCCAGGATCTAACACAGCAGAGATTCTGTATGTTTGTGGAACCGAGCAGGGAAATTCTCTTTCCTTTTGGGGATTACCTCTCCACACCCGCCTTTCTATGGTCGGATTTACCCATTCTACCATCAAGCAGCATCTCCCAGGAGAGGATTTACCTGACTCAGTGGGCGTGTAGTCAGCCTAGACCTTCCCCCTGTGCTGAATGTGGGACACAAGGAGTCTGGGGAGGCCTCACCTCCACCCACACTAGCCTAGGAGACCACCTGCTGGTGGGGACCACTCAAACGTTGGTGATTCCCACTCTCTTGTTTCATACTGAAGCATACATAACTATGGAAGCTATGAGAACACTGTAACAGCTTGGAACCGTAATACTAGTTAAGAGGCAAAACTGGAATCCAGTTGTCCTGACTCCTAGTTAGGTGCTCCTTCTGGAAGAGTCAAAGGCAAAGAGCGAAAGGGAAGGGGAAGATGTGCATCCAGCCTGACAAGGCAGGAAACAAATACACCTCGCAGCCAGGATTCAAGTTTCTGGACAAACTTTACTCTTTGGAAGCTCAGGGTGGGGGGAGACTGTGAGAGTTGGGGGAATACTTATCAGATTGCCTGGAAGGCAGCAAACCAAAGCCCTCAGGCCCTTAGGAACCTTTATAAATATGAGCAGCTTGTCCCCTTGGCCCTAGACAGTTGTGCGCAGCTCAAGCACCACAAAATGGATTGAACCAGTGATGGCAACAATGAACCTGATGATGGCTGAGACTGTGAGGTCGGTGCAGGGCGAGGTTTTGATCCGTTGTCCACAGGATTGCTCTGAACCATATTTGACTATACAGCACCTAACCAGAACTCCAACTATCTACTGGTTTCTCTACCTTCAGGAATCCAGAGGGCCTATTTGGCTTCACTTCCTCCAAAATGTTATCCTAATGGGCATTCTCCTCACACAGAGGCTGTGCAATTTACAGTGTCTGAAATTCCAGTGGAGGGCCAGATCAAAGTTGGTTTTGACTCAATGGCACATAACAACAAAATGAGTTCTCAAGTATCTACGCTTGTGGGTTTCTTAAGTGTTGTCGCCCTGTGCTGCTGAGTCAACACCAACTCTCTATGACCCCAGATAGAGGAGGATAAGAGGAGACCTGCCACAGAGGGTTTCCTAGCCTATAAACCCCATGGATGCAAAATTCCCCCCCCCCCAAGAATGGCTGATGTGTTCAGACCACTGATTAGCAGCCCAGCACTTAATCACTGTGCACCCAGGGTGCTTTGTTCAGTATTAGGGGTGGGGAATAGGAGATAACTGGATCCCAGTAAATACTGCTGAATTGTATGGATAATCAGATTCATCATCTACTCAAAATAGGTAAGATCTAGGAGGAAGAAGGCTGTTGTAGGACAGGAGCATGAATTACCCATCAGTTTACACAAGCTACATTTCTTACAGCCTTCTTTACCTCACAGGATGGATCACTTGGGGGTAATGGGATAATCCTCAAGTGGGGAAAATGGTGGCTGGGACCTGATATTGATCAATTTTGTAGATTCAGGATGCTCACTTTAGCTTTTGTTCACAAAGGAGTTGGTTGACCTTCCTTAACCCTTAGCCAGCACCCCCAAAGCATATAAAGTGGAACAAATTTTGAAAGCTTCTTGCTGGTTTTGAGCACAGGCTATGGTGGGTGGCAGTCCTTTCAGAGTGTGGCAAGGCTGGAGGTCCTGGAGACAGTCTAAGCTCCAGGCAGTGACACTCTCCAGAGCCTTCATCCAGTTGGAGGGAAGTCCGTGGCGGTGGTGGAGGGCAGTGGTTAGGCAAAGTCTTTGATTTAGCGGTTTGGGTTAGAGGGTAAGAAGGACAGGACTCCACCCCATCCCTTTTTCTCCATTAGCTCCTTGTCCTCCCCAGAAAGTCCATCTGGAGCTGGTTTCCTCCTAGCCCAGAAGGGGTGCAGGTGGGCCGGGTCTTGTGCTTTGTAGGAGGGCTGGGAGCTGACCCGCCCTTCCCAGACTCACATCATTTGAGGCGTAGCCAGGACATCTGGGGAGGGATGCTGATACCAGGCTCCAAAGCTGTTGCCATAGCCACCGGTGGACAGGGGCCCTGCGTTGGGTAGATCCCACAGGGATGGAATGGGTGGGGAACACGGAGACAGGGAGGTGGGCCCCCCAGAAAAGCCGCCTTCCTGTCCCCCAGAGTTCTGCTTCAGGAGTTTCTTGTATTTGGAGCGCTTGTTCTGAAACCAGATCTTTACCTTTAGAGAGAAAAGGGGAAAGAACGGAAGGTCAGGAGAAATGCACATGGATGACACAGGGACAGGAGCCCAGCCTTAGGGAGCCATCCTGAGAAGGGACCTGGTGAGTGAGACAATGGCTCTAGTCTCCCACAGCTCCTAAGTCCTCTGAGTTCCCATCACCTGGCCAGTATTCAATCTGCCTATTTAGCAAGCCCTTGTCTACCTGTGTTATGCAGACGACACAACCCAGCTTCCTGAAAGTGAGGAGGACTTGAAAAGCTTGCTGCAGAAGATCAAAGATGACAGCCTTCAATATGGATTACGTCTCAACATCAACATCACTACTGGACAAATAGGCAACATCAGGAAAGTCGGAGAAAAGACTGAGGTTGTCAACGATTTCATCTTACTTGGGCCCACTATCAACATCCTGGGCACTAGCAGTCTGATTAGGAGACATCTTATACTGGGCAGATCTGCTGTCAGGGATTCTCCAAACTACTGAAGAGCAATGATGTCAACATGAAGACTAAGGTGGGCCTGATTCAGGCCATGGTCTTTTCAATCACTTGCTATGCATCTGAGAGCTGGACAATGAATAAGGATGAAAGAATTATTGATGCCTTTGAGCTGTGGTGTTAGAGTACTAAATATCCTAAAAGAACAGACAGCTATGACAGAATGTTCCTTGGAGACAAGGATGATAAAGCTGCTTCTCACACACTTCTGGCATGTTGCTAAGAGAGGCTATTCTTTGAAGAACATCATGTCAGGGAAAGAGAGGAAGACCTTTGACAAGATGGACGGACACAGTGCCTGCAGCAATGGGCTTGAGTGTGTCATGGATGAAGATGACACAGGATAGGGCAGAGTTGTGATCCACTGTTCATAGGACTGCTGAGTCCTACACGACTTGATGGCACCTAACAGCACTGTATACCTGAGGAAGCTCAGATGGCTTAGTAGTTAGGAGTTGTGCTGCCAACCCAAAGGCACAAAGTTCAAATTCACCAGCTGCTCCAAGATGGGCAATCTTCTCCTTTGGGAATTTTCAAAGCCAATAGCCTTTGAAAAGCTGCTGGAGGGTCAGTTCTGACTTGACAATACATAACAACATCTACATCTACTTCAGTCTAATCCCCATTCATCAATACAACACACGCTCCCCTTCCCTCCATTAACGGAAGGCCAGCTATGAATGCCTGGCTGGAAAACCCTGACAGCAAGGCCAGGAGATGCCTCAGCCACCACAGCTCTGGGCTGAGCCCTGTGAACACCCAGCAAGGTTAGCGTGCTGGAAGGAGGAGACCTGGCTCACCTGGGTCTGCGTGAGGCCAAGCTGCGCAGCCAGCTGAGCCCTCTCCGGCAAGGCCAAGTACTGCGTGTGCTGGAAACGCTGGTTCAGGTGCTGCAGCTGCAGACTGGAGTAGATGGTCCTGGGCTTGCGCAGTTTTTTGATCGGGGCCTGCAGGTGCCCCTCCGAGGGCTCTGGGGACAGCTGGGGCTTCTCTGAGTCTGGGGGTAGGGGTAAAACACAAGAAGAGAAGATGTGTGTAGGAACTGGAGAGGGCGAGAAGTAGATTCATGGGTCACTTGCATCTCCTTTGCATGTCCATATGGGATTAGCAAAAATGCACTGTTGCAGAGTGCTCCTCTCCTGGCCCCGCTCTGCTTTTCTCCATGTTTCTCACCCTACTCTCAGAGGAATCCCACCTTCACTGCTCACCAGATGACTCAAGGCTCAGTGCCTGTCCTCAGGAGGCTCCTACTCTTGAGGGTTCTAAGCCCAGTGGAGGAAAGCACCAGAATAAGTACAGGCGGTACCCTACAGCGGGAGGTCAGGATTCCCCCAGCGATTGCACCAGCTTGTGGGAGGGGATGGGGTGGGGCCGAAGGGCTAGATTTGAGGGCCGCGCTGAGGCCTGGTAACTGTGGATAGGAACATTGCAGGAGGAGGAAACGCAACAGCAATGCTCAGAGGCCCAAGGGAGAGTCAGCACGGCAGCCCCGGGGCTCAGGGAAGCAGAGTGTGGAGGAGAAAGGGCAATGGGAGCCAGGGATGCTGAAAGACTACACTCAGCATCGCAGGGCGGAAGGTTCCCGGCTTTACCGTCACCCCGACTTCCGTTATCTGACAGACCCTCTCCCTCTCCCCAGGCACGATTGGTAGGAAAAGTGTTCATCTCTCTCATGGCCAGTAGACTCAGGAGGAAGGTCTTTCTGAGGCCTCAGAAGTGCCTCTCACACAGCGTGGCCACACTCATGGAGGGGTTGCAGGGAAAGTGACAGGATTGGGGGCCCTGGGCTGCACGGTGCTGCCAGAGATCCCGTTACCTCCTGCTAACCCTGCTTCCAGGGAAACTGAGCCCGGGAATGCATGAGTGGCAGCCCAGCCTGTGCCGCAGGGACACCAGAAGCCGTCCCACGTGGATGAAGCGGATGATGCAGTCAAACGCACCCGAGATGCATGCGGATAACACTCGCTTTCTTCCAGTCTATTCACCGAGGTGCGCTGGACTCTGCAACCTGCGGCCAGCCTGTGCTGCATCCGTCCACTTCTCCCTTAGCCTGGGTCAGCCGCCACCCATCAGGTTCCCCGCTCTGGGCCAGCCCGGGTCACCACTGCCCTCACCTCTCTCAAAGCCCTCTCCGTGGCTTGGGGCCCTGCCTGCGGCTCTGAGACCCACCCCCCACCCCCGGCAATTCCCAGAAAAACGTTTGGTTTCCGTTCCGCCTGCGCCTGCCCAGCTTCTCCAGCTCGACCCTACTGTTGGCAGCTTGGGGTTGGAAGTTGATTGGCCATCCGCGCCTCCCTGCCCATGTGGACCCAGAGTCTGGGACAATGACACCTGGACCCAGCAGCAGACAGATCCAGTTGTTGAACTCTTCATGCCCCGAGCAGTCTGTTCCCCAAGTCTCTGCCCTTTCCCACACAGGTTACAGCTCACAAGCTGGCTGGGCTCAGGTGCCTGCTATAGAGTCCTAAGGCCTCTCCCAAAGTACACTCTGCTGGCTCAGTGAGGTGTTGCAAAACTTGGAACCAAACTTCCCCCTGACAGAGTGTGGGTAAATGGACGGTTAACTTTAGGGGGCCCTGAGAGAAGACAGTTAATTTGGGGGGACCTGGAAGAAGTTCCCTAAAATCCTCTGCTCAAATCTCCATCATTCACTCTGGAGTTAGGTCAGAACTAACAGATGCAGCAGAAAAATGTCATAATCTATTTCAAGGACATTTGTGTGTGTGCTTTTAAAATTTTTTTCGTTGGATCCGGGAAAGTCCACAATAAAATGAATTCTTCACTCCCTTGTCCTTCTAATGGGAAGACAAAGGATTGCGGGAAATAATAGTATAAAAATCAATCCTATTTCCAACAGTTCTCAGGAAGGAACAAGACAAAGGACTGATCAGCCAAAGGACTGATTTATAAATGCTAATTCCCAAGTGTCTCTCATCCAAGGACTGACCTGGTAGTCTGAGAGAGGCAGCTTCATTTCTGCCACAGAAGATGGCTAATTTTGGAGGCCCTGAAGAAAGTCAATGTTTGAGGGTCAAGAGCCTGGGGAACAGGTTGATGCTGTTTCATCCATGTGGACATCAAGGAGGTGACATGTCCTAATTGTTTTGAATGGCTTGAGTCCACGCTGATAGAGGTTGGAGCACCATGTGTAGGGGCAACAGGAGAAAGGACAGTGCACTTATACTAGGCTGACCCCAGGGGAGTCACCTGGTGGGTATGTGTCCTTAGAACCTACTGTGCCAGTGAACACTGGTGGCAAGGAGTTCAGAGGACCTGAGTTTCAGCTTGAGAACGTGTGGATGGGTGTGTGCATAGTGCGCATGTGTAAAACCAAGGTCTCCTAGTAAAGTCTGGCTCTCAGGAACTCAAAAAAAAAAATCCTTCCAGATAATGGGAACTGGGGCCTAATCTATTCCAAAGCGAATAGTGGAGATGACAGAGCTGGCATGCTCCACCGGCTGGAAGACTGAAGTACCCAAGGTCTCCAATGAAGGTAGAGGGGGTTGCTGCTGCCCTTATCTGTGGCTACATTCTTAGAACAAAGGATGGGAGGGCCCAACTCTGAGGTTCTGCCAGACCTCCTTCCAGCTTTGCTTTGGCAAGTTCCATGGAGAGAGAAAGGGGAGACAGTAGGGAACAGAATGACCCCCCAATAAGCCTTTCAAGGGGGTCCGACTTCCACTTCTCCGGAGTTTTAACTTGAACTTTGCATTCTGAGATGAGAAGACGGCACCGCCTCGAAGGGAGGGTATGCACGGAGGGGACAATTCTGGGGAAGGGTCTAGGCCCCCACGCCCACATCTGGATTGTTTCAGTTTTCCGTTACACGTAGGTACTCGCAACCCTGCTGCTCCAGGGGGGTGGCGCAGGGAGCCCTCCCGCCTGGCTCCACACAATTGCAAATCGAAACCAGGTCGGTCTGAAAGGAGACCTAGAATCGACTCGCCCCCGCCCCTCCCCCCTGCGCCTCCCGCCCTATCCTTTTGCCCTCCCCCACTCTCGAGGAATCTGATTAAGGCTTGAATCCCGCTAGCTGCGCCCGACCGGGCGAGGGCGAAGTTTAGGGGTACACAGGAGCCAACCCTAACGGTGAAAAGGGGCGCTGCGGCCAGACTTACCTGCCTCCTGCTCTTGCGAGTGCCCAGCCGGGCCGCGGAGGGGCTGAGAGGGCGCTGCGGCTTGCTGGCAGGGCAGGTAGGAGTCTCCGGGGGTCGCTGGGCCAGTGTAGGGGTAGGATAGGAGATGGCCATACGGCCCTGAGTAGGACAAATCGGGGGCGGCTGCGGTTGCTGAGGACAGGCCAAGCGGGTAGGCAGCCACTACCGACGGGGCGGGGGCGAGGTCCGGGAAGATGGCTTTGGAGGCATCCCGACCAAGGAGGGGGCAGGGCAACGAGGTCATTGCGGACGGGGCTGGAGCCCAAGGGCTTAGGCCATGGCCAGGCACGTCGTCCGCTCCCCCAGCCAACTCTTCGGAGCCTGAGCCGTTGGGCTCGAACGAGCCCCCGAGTCGTTCGCCCCTACACTTAAGATCCCCAGCAAAGTGCCTGTACGCTGTCTCCAAGGGACATCGCGCTCCTGGGAAAGGGTTTCTGGGGATGCCCCCATGGCTTTTCCCCTCCCCCCTAAACCTGAGGGGGGCCTCATGCTCTCTCTTGGGTTCGGTTCTAGAGATCCGACGGGGGCCCCGCCTACTTAGATGCTTGGGATTGGTTCCCGCACGGGGTGACCTCACGGAAGCCTGGAGCGCGGCCCGCCCCCGCCCCCCTTTTGGGCCGCTGGTGGTGGGGAATTTCAGAACTGGGAAAGAGGAGCGGGAGAAGGGCACACCCAGGCTTGTCCCTCTCGGGACACTCCTCCGAGGATTGCGCGAGGCTGCAAAGGCGCTTAGCGCAGCCTGGGAACCTGGGTCCCAATAGGCGGCACGCGAGGGGTTCGGCGGGGCTGGGAAGTTGGGCGAGCGGAGCAGAGCGGCGGCGGCTCCGGGGCGCGAAGAGGCTGTGCCCGCCGCCCCAGCTCTCGTTCTCTGCACGACTAGTCCCGCCGCCACCAGCCCGCAGAGGAGTCGAGAGCAACCCGGCGGAGCCCGGGCTTATTCAGCGCGTCGGAATGCGTGGCTGCCGAGCGCAGGCATTTGTTGGTAAACAGACGCCCGGCTGGGGGAGGTGCCGCCGGCGCTCAGGCTGCCCCGCACGCGCGCCGCGCACACGCCCCCGCAGGGCGCCCTCCGCCTGGCACGCCGCGACCGCCGCCGCTGCGCCCGCCGTCCCCCGCCCCGGCTTCCGCTTCCGGCAGGGGCCCCGGGTTGGTTGCGACACCACAGCTCCTCCTGGCCCCCGAGGCCGCACGAGGGCTCTGCCGTCTGCGCTTTTTGCCCGTGCCGCACCAGGCGCCACCTGAGGCCGAACCCTTGGCCGAACAGGGACAAGACTCCGGCTGCGGCGGGGGAGCGAGGCCAGTGTGATGGCTGCAGGGAAGGCGTAGGAAATACAGCAAAGACTGTCTTTGTAGCGACGTTTTTCAGAGTATGTTCAAGATTGGAGTCTTAAAACACTAATATCTCGCATACAAACATCTATTCTACTTATAACAACTATTTAGAGATATCTCAATTGCATAGTGTACATTCGGATATATCGAAACTCAATGATGTTCACATTAGCATCTTGTGATGAGCAGAAAAGTTCATTTATGAACCAGCAAACAGGCAATGGATAATGTAATCTATGTACACAAAGACTAATAGTAGTGGGTGGCCCTGTAGAAAAGTGTCAGTAATTGTCCTTTACGCAGACCCAGGAGAACACAAGCCAAATAGCTGGTGTACAAGCTTAAAAAACAAAACTCAAGCTTATATACACACAAGTACTATCCTATGAGAGATGCTGGCTCACACATCTAAACTCCTTAGGGGACAGTTACTTTTCCAAACCCACCTGTCCACACAACCTCTCTGCACCTCCCACGTGGGTACACAAACTGGGAACATGCAGATTCATGTATGAATACATGTATCCCTCCAAGCGAGGAGGGAGTGAAGGTGGCAGTTTTGAATTGGGGAAGAGGGACAGAGAATCCGCCTGGAAGAGTGAGCATGAGCACACGCTGAGGGTGACGGGATCCAGGCCTTCTTGGAGAGATGAGAAGATAGAAAACAGATGTGGAGATTGGGAGGGGTGGTTCAGACCCCAGACAGGTGTCTAGGAAGAGGTGTGGGGTTGAGCCTACACAGAGGGTATTCATCTTCAGGAAGAGCAGGTCCATTTGAAACTGGAGCACCTGGACTCTACTCCAGAGCCTCAGACCTCTGATGGGAAAGGGCTGTGCAGAGTCTCAGACCTCTGATGGAAAAGAGCTGGGCAGAGAGGCGCACCTTTCTCTGGGCAGCTGGAGAACCCATGCTCCTCTCATCTGACAGTGTGGACATTGCTCAGCTGAAAGTCAGCATCAACAATGCGGCAGTGGAATTTCTTGGTTTATTTTTTTCATGGAACACCCTTTCCCCTTGATTCCCCAATTTCAGCCACATCACTGTGAACCTAGGAGGGTTCTCCTCTGAGGGAGGCAGCCACAGGGCATACAGTGCACTGATGTGTTCCAAGGATGTGTCGCAGGGTGCATCAGAGAAAGAGAATAATTTAGGGGGGTGATGTTGACTGTCAGAAGTTTCACAAAGAAGCCACTTTCGAGCTGGCTTGGAAGAACCTGTCCTCTCAGGGCTGGTTCTGGAGACATTTCTGCACTAGAGCTGGCAAGAAGGGGCAGGGGTGGGTTTTCCTGGTAGTGGCTCTGCAGCAGTTGGTTTTGGGCAACCTCCACAAGGATCTATAGCCAAAGACTCTCCTAATAGGGTTTCTTAGCCCCACATAGCACCACCCTGCCACTCTTTGTTGTTGTTATCATTGAGTTGGAACTGACCCATAGCTGGTCCTCCATAGGTTTCAGAGGTAGTTACTTGCTTAGGAGATTGTGTGTCTTTGTCCCATTAAAGCAGCTTGTGGCCTTGAACCATCTGCCTTCTGGATTGCAGCACAGCTTCTTGTCACTAGGCCACTCTTTAGACTTTATGAAGGGCTTGTTACCTCTCAAGACTTGAACCAAATCCACTGCTGTTGATCCCATCCCAACTCATGCTGTCCCTGCAGGACAGAGCAGAACTACTCCACAGGGTTTTTAAGGCTGTAAGTCTTTACATTTTAACCAGTGTGTCACCAGGTGCCTTTAATGACATTTACACACACACACACACACACACACACACACACACACACACACACACAGCCTGAGTGAGATAGGTATTATTGTCATTCCTATTTTACAAAGAAATCTTCCTCTGCCATCCATTTCGTCCTCTGAGCTCCTCCCAAGGGTGCTGGGCACAGACTGGAGCAAGTACAGGGAGAGACACTGTAGGGTCTCCTCAGATTTAACACACACACCCAGGAACACCCAAATTCCAGGGTAAATTGGGAGAGGCGTAAAGAGATAGGGTGTGGGTGTTTAGGAAGGGCTGATCACGTTCGTTTGTTCAGGAGTTCGCAAACGTCTGTGATACCGTTTTTCTTGTCATCTCTGAAGCTCAATTTCTCCTCAGGACAGCGAGGGAGCACTAAAGATGGACCCTCGCCGCCAAACCTTTGTTTTCTGCTTTAAGATTAATTGCAAATCTCAGAGTAAAATAAAGCCACACTGGGAAGTAAAGAAGGGGTGAGGTGGGCATAAAAATGGAACTAATTCTGTCCTGGTCACTTGGTCTGTGACTCCTCACAAATCTAGAAATCCCAGCCCCATCCCCGCCCCCAGCTCTTCCCCGTGCAGGTCCTTGACTCTGTTGGCGCTCTGGGCGAAGTGGGCTTGCTCTAGATAAACCTAGCACTGAGGCGACACGCTGGGGGCCAGTCACAGGGCCAAGGGTGGGGAGACCCATTGCGGGGGTGGGGGTCAGGTGGTCTCGGAAGGTGGCTCTGAGGGGCCTTGTTCGCAGGCTCTGCACGTCGCCCCGCAAACACTCTTCCACAGGAATAGGAAACATTTCCCTAAATAATTCCAATAGGCAGCAGCGGTAGTGGCGAGAGCTATGCCTTGTTTGAGGTAACTCCAAGAGTATGCACCCTCCCTGAAACAGGGGACTCTCTCAAAGACTCATATCTGGCACTCCAAACACGTGGTGGGCGCTCAAGACTGCATGCACCCAGATGCTGTGAGCTTACACGGTTGTTGAGCTACGGGAGCCGGAGCCTCCTGCACCCCAGACACACTCCGAGGCGACTGTGGCGACTGTGGCACAGGGGTCTGCAATAGGTGTACACGGGGTGCATTGCGGGCATAGATTTGTGCAACGCAACAACATGACCTTTGTCCTTGACCCTCTACGGCCACTGGGTGCTTATTGGTCCCTCCTACAACCCACCCTCCGTCCTCAAATGAAATTTTAGTTTGGTTTGTCCATTATCAATGAGTATTTGTCTCAATTTCTTGGAGGCTTTGCAGGGCTCTGTTTGGGGAACCCCTGTGGATAATTCAGTTTGGCAGTTGCCAATGGTCGCCTCCAGGCGCTCAGCGGGGTGCGCTGGGCTGGAGCCCCTGTGTTCCACGCCTGGGAAGAGCAGCCCCACCGCAAGGAAAGAGCTGCATGTCCCACTGCAATTTGACTTTTTCTGAGATTTTTAATTATTTCGTCTCTTTCTGTTATTTTCATGAACACTGGCACAAGCGGGGTGGCAGGCTGGTTACTGAGGTCACTGTGCGCATGGAGGTGAGCTCGGCTGGCGCCCACCTCCACGCAGGCGCCCTTCACGGAGAAAATTCTTAGAATTGGGGTTCCGTCTCTTTCCCCAAAGAATCCAGGAGAAACTGGGGTGAGGGGTGAAGGTGGGAAGGGGAGAGGCCTGGGGTCAGCGCAACCTCCATGCCCAGCTCCCCCTCAGCGACTGTTCCCCCAAATTTGCAATATTTGACTTTCACATTTCAGCCTCTGTACAGGAGATGAATCCTCTTTTTGCGCCTACCTGGAACGTTTTAAATACACGCAGTTTTAAAGTCATCAAACATTTTAAAAACTCAACAACAACAACAACAACAAACCAAACAAAACGAAAAGAGAGGTAGAGAAAGAAAACTATTGAACGATGCCGCCCAGAAAGCCTGTTAACAAAAGATGGTCTGGTTTTATCGGTGTGTTGGAGGCTCCGCGCTTAGCCAAGGGGTCGGGGATGGGGGATGCTGTGCTGAAAGTTTGCCGAAGTGCGGGGAGCTGGAAGGACCCAGCTGAGGTTTGCATGAGCACCGGCTCCGGGACAGCAGGGTTTCTCAGCCTAGTGTCCCAGCCTGGACCCCACCGGTCTGAAGGAGGAGTCTGTGGTGGCGGAGATGCGCGCAAGGACTTCCACACAGCGCGCCAGG